CTAACAAAAAGAAATGAGGTATATGAACTATGTAATAGTATGAAACATAAACATTTTCTATGTTAGTAAATTTAATTTAATGTAGGACTTAATCAAAGAGTAGTGTATCTTGTATAAAATATATATCAAATTTAAATTTGGATACTTTGAAATGTTTCAGGTACCCGTGACATCTTTGCAAGGCAAAACAATAGGACTATACTTTTCAGCACAATGGTGCGTACCTTGTGTCAAATTTATCCCAAAGCTAATCTTAATCTACCAAAAGATAAAGCAAAACCTACCAAAAGAGGAAGACTTTGAGATAGTATTCGTGTCAAGTGACCGCGATGAGGCATCCTTTTGCTCTTATTTTGGAAGAATGCCATGGTTGGCGATACCCTTTCGTGACAGCACCTCGAAGGACCTTGCTAAACATTTTGACGTGAGAGAGATCCCGTGCTTGGTCATCTTAGGTCCAGACGGTAAAACCGTGACCAAACAAGGAAGGTATCTGATAAATTTGTACCAAGAAAATGCTTACCCTTTCACTGATGCAAGATTGGAGTTTTTAGAGAAGCAAATGGATGAGGAAGCAAAGAGTTTGCCTAAATCAGCATTTCATGCAAAGCATCAACATGAGCTTAATTTGGTTTCTGAACGTACTGGTGGTGGGCCTTTTATCTGTTGTGATTGTGATGAGCAGGGATTGGGTTGGGCCTACCAGTGTCTTGATTGCGGGTTTGAGGTCCATCCAAAGTGTGTTAGGCCCATTCAACAGCCCAATACATGATTGGGAAATGATAGTTCAATGATAAGGGATATGATATAATTACGAAACTACCCTCCTCGAGAATGCCGTATTGTCCACATTGTATGAGACTACGAGGCAATGAGGAAAGGGAAAGAGTTGAGGGAGTTATTGTTACTTCTTTGATGTACAAAAACACCATTAAGATTAAGTACTAACAAAATTGGTGTTCATCATCATTGGTGTTAATTCAACATGATCATGTAAACAGGTTCTTGATGCCATGTGAATCATGTGATTTATGATAATTTGGAAGATGCTTCATTTCATTTATTTCAAATCTTAATTGTTGTATAAGGTATAGTATATGTGACTATAGGATCATGATATTTGTTCATTGTATGAATGTTAGGAAGCTAGTTAATTGTTTGTACTCCCCCCCCCCCCCCCCTTTTTTTTTTTAACAAACAAAACACATCTAGAGCCGAAAATCAAGTAATAATCCACCTTCAAAGCAGTTAGACCACACACATAATCACAAAACCAAACTATTTTAAAACCTTAACTAATAGCAAAAGAAAAAAGGACCGAAAAATTCATAACTAATCTATCATCTATCGCAGCAAAAAAAAAAAAAAAAAAAAATAAATAAAAAAAAAATGACACAATTGAAGTAAGAAACATCATAAAATCGAACGTTCATGTTCATATTTGTATGGTATTTTTTTTATCATTGTTGTACAAAAGATTCATCTTATAAGGCCTAGACTATCCAGTTTTAGCTGGTCCAAGATTAAACATTTAATGCCTGGTATAATGTTATCCTTTATCTCTATATGAATGAATTTGTGCGAGCTTAAATTAGATAAGCTCGAGACGATATCTAACCGAGTGTATTATAATCATCAAGCAAGCTGTAGCTTAAATTAGATAAGCTCGCGACGATATCTTTACTTTCAAGCATTCTCATTTGGCAAGAAAAAAAAAATGACATGTCATACAAAATGAACATATATAGCTGAGCCATACAAAATGAACATAGCACCGTATAGTACATTAAATTTGGACATGATAATTATAAGAATGAACACGTCTAAAAAAGAACACATGTGGTCTGTTGCACCACTATAAAAAATTCATTTAGTATTGAAGGAAGTCAAAAGATAAGTACCTGCAACATAAGCTTAGCCAGAAGACTGTGAGGTATTTTGCATATTGTGAGCATTGACACTTGAATTGATTCCTCCGTATTGTTGATCTTCCTGATTTACCATATTGAGAAATTGATTGTACCATCATATAGAAATATGAGCAGTTTCATAGTTTTTGTCACCTTCAACCTCCTCATCTGTATAAACTATTACAACAAATTTTTGCCTTTGAATTTGTTTAGTCCAAAGTTTGCTAGATATTCATGATCTTGAAACATTTGTCTATTGTTTAACTTGTCATGTTACAGAGATCACAAAATAGACCATACTCAAGACCATACTCAATTATTGGTCAATGTTGGGCCATTACCACAAGACCATAATCAATTTTTGGCCAAGATATTAGACCATACTGTTTGTGTGTTGAACATGTGTTTGTGATGTTCCCCCCTTATTTCCGTTCCTTGTGTAAGTAAATAAATGGCACCTAAAATGAGAAAGAGAGAGTAGTAAAGACTCATAATAGGGTGCTTAATTAGCATTTGGTTCCGAATTTCTTCCCATGGACTAGAAGCTTGTTGTACAAGTTAGGAGGCCAAAGATAGATAGATAGATAGGCTTTTATTATTTTATTAGGTAAAGGTGACATCAAGCCTACCATATTGTACGGCGAGTTATAATAGTAAAGGGCAACAACCATATAGACCTTAAATAATATAGGAAGACATCACACGTATAGACAATCGTATAATGCAATCATAATTTTCCATTTGAGTTAATATGTTTAATTCAACATTTATTAAAATCAGGTATTGGTTTGATATCAACAAAACCCTACCACAAATTCCATCCAAATTTATAGTTCATATTGCGAGGGGTGGGGTGGTTTGACTAGGACTCCCACCTATAGACTCAACTCTTTTTTTTATTTTATTTTTTTTTATTTATTATTTATTTATTTATTATTTATTATTTATTTATTTATTTATTATTATTATTTATTATTTATTATTTTTTCCTACCACAAATTCCATCCAAATTTATAGTTCAAATTGCGAGGGGTGGGGTGGTTTGACTAGGACTCCCACCTATAGAATCAACTCTTTTTTTTTATATTTTATTATTTATTATTTATTATTTATTATTTATTTTTTATTATTTATTTATTTTTTATTATTATTATTTATTATTTTTTTGGTCTCTAAACTGATGGTACTACTAACGAAAGGGTGTTGTTAAACGTCGTTCACAAATTACAAGGTGACGCTCGCATTTTTTATTGAATTTCCTAATTTGCCCCTCATATATAAATACTTGGAAAACCGAGTTACGAAACTCACAAGTCATTTCTCAACCCCGACACTCTCTCTCAAACTTTCTTTCTCTAAAAAAAAGGCAAGAATTTTAAAAAAAAAAAATTCAGAAAAAAAAAATTTTCAGAGGAAAAAAAAAATCAGAAATTTATTTTCAAAAAAAACCAAAAATTTGAAAATCAAACGAAGAACGTACGAAAACCAATCAAAGCAAGAATCCGGGTATGGCGGACGGGAGAGGCATTAGGCTTACGTACGGTGGTCGTGGGGGCGGCATTTCCGGCGGCGAGCAGGTTGGTATTACGTTCTTTGCTGCTGTAATGTAAAAGGAAAAAAAAATTCTGAAAAACCCAGACTTCCGCCTGAAATTTCCGGAAGTTCTGGGTTTTCCGTTTTTTTTTTCCTTTTCTTTTGTTTGCTGAAGGTGTTTTCTTTTTTTGTTTTTTTTTTATGTTTTTTTTGTTGAATTTTTTTTTTTCCTTTTTTTGGGTGAAGCTGTTTTTTTTGTATTTTGTCTTTGATTGTTTTTTGTTTTTTTTTTATTTTTTTTTCTTTTGTTTGGTGATGGTTTTTTTTTTTGTAATTTTTTGTGTTTGTTTATTCTTTTTTTTTTCTTTTGTTTGATGAAGCTATTTATATTTTGTTTTGTTTTTTTTTTCCTTTTGTTTGGTGATGGTTATTTTTTTTTAATTTGTTTGTGTTTGTTTATTCTTTTTTTTTCTTTTGTTTGATGAAGCTATTTATATTTAGTTTAGTTTTTTTTTATTTATTTTGTTTTATGTATTGTTGTTATTATTATGTTTATTTACTTCATTTTTCATTTATTGTTATTGTTATGCATTGTTGTGATGTTTATTTTTTTTATTTGTTGTTATGTTTATTTATTTTTTGTTTTCATTTATTGTTATTGTTATGTAATGTTGTTATGTTTATGTAATTTGTTTTTTCATTTATTGTAATTGTTATGTATTGTTGCTATTATTTTGGAATTGGAATATTAACGATTCAAGGTTGATATCATAGTTGTGTGTGTAAGTATTAATGAAATTATATTTTCTACTTATTTAATGCAGATTGAGGGTTCGGGCGCTCGACATGCAAGATCGAGACGTTTGAATGCATCAGTGAGGAGGGAGTTAGGTGGTGCAGGACCTTCGGAGGCACCGTTTCACCGTGAGCAGCAGTACGGGTCTGCTCGTACTTGGTCGGGGGAGCATCAGTCAGACATGAGCGCCCCCATGTACTCGTCGGGTAGAGTTCCTGTATCTGACGAAGAGGACGACGATGAGCGAGCTAGTCATGCTAGTCGAGATTCAGAGTACGACCCTCAGGATTACCGTGCTGTGTATAGGGGTGACCATGGGAGATATGGTAGTAGTAGTGAACCAGGTGAAGGTTCTACCAGCTCGTCTGAGTTGTGGGTGGTTCGGGGGCCGATGCCAGGTGGGCCTGAGGATGGTACTATCATTCCTAGTTTTGGGGGTCACGTGGCTGCATATCTATGGGGTGGGCAGAAGAGAAATGTTCTGCGGTGTTTGAGCAGGACACAGTTGTGTACTGAGTTGGGTAACTGGCGCGCTCGTCTTCCGCTGGAGCACCTGGAACTGATTGATGGCAGTGGTCTATCTCACTTACCCGGGATCATGTTCCGGCGATTTGACTAGCCCCTGATTTCTGCTTTTGTTGAGAGATGGCAGCCAGACACGAACTCGTTTCACATGCCATTTGGGGAGATCACGATCATGCTGCATGACGTGTATCATATTCTAGGGCTCCGTGTCGACGGTTCCATGGTTTCCATACCGATCACATGCCATTTGTCGGTGTCACACCAACTATCTCAAAGAACATCATTCCGTATCGGTTGGTCTTGTATGTGGAATCCATACCGATCACATACGGGTACGTCCGTAGGATGTCTATCATGACTGGATGCGCCATGAAGGCGTGCTGTAAAACGCCATTATCATCAGACAATACCCAGTACACATACCGACTCTGTCTAGCCAAATGTAGAAACTGTTGAACAACTCCTCTACCATCTGACATCTCGGTTCTGAAGTCATTTCGGCAGTTGTAGATGTGTCTGATGTTTGGATGATCTTGAGGAAATTGCTCGGCAATAGTCGCCATGATGTTACGCGGTGCTACCTTAGACTTGGTCATGTTACACACAACCTGCTTCGCTTCCGGGCTTAACCCGCTTATTTTACGATGCCCCTCTGGATACGCAATCATTGGATGGTTGTGGGTCCCAGTTACATCATTTTTCGCCGTGATAAACCAACAGTCGTCAAAAAAATTGTAAGATATCTTGATGTAGAAAGGACAACCATTGGCTTTGGTTTTCGTGTCCTTCCTTATTGCGTTCTCAAGATCTCTCGGCTTACTCATGCGTCCCCGATCACATCTTAAATATCGATATGGTCGACCATCCCTCTGTCTGTTGAAAGACGATTTCACTAAAATAAATCCCAGATTTATTGCAACAGCATCCGCCCAACTAACTGCTTCATCAAACGTTCGAAAAACCTTGTCTGTCACGAAATTTGCACTATAATCCACCCTGTCACCGCCTTCTTCATCCTCCGAATCCTTTAACAATAAACCAAACAAATGAGGCAAATATTAGTATTATAAATTTAATAATAATACTAATATTTTTATTAATAACAAAAACTATAATACTAATAATAACAACCTTAATAATAATAATAAAAATAATAATATAAATAATAGTAACAACAATAGTGATAGTAATTACAATAACAATAATCATGCTAACAACAACAGTAACAATATTATTAATAATAATAATAATACCAATAATAAGAATAATAACAAAAATGATAATAATAAAAATAAAAATAAAAAATTCGATATTAATAATAATAATAATAATAATAATAATAATAATAATAATAATAATAATAATAATAATGATAATAATCATACTAACAACAACAACAACAATAACAATAACAATAACAATAACAATAATAATAATAATCGTACTAACAACAACAACAACAATAACAATAACAATAACAATAACAATAATAACAATAATAATAATAATAATAATAATAATCGTACTAACAATAACAACAACAACAACAACAACAACAACAACAACAATAATAATAATAATAATAATAATAATCGTACTAACAACAACAACAACAACAATAACAATAACAATAACAATAACAATAACAATAACAATAACAATAACAATAACAATAACAATAATAATAATAATAATAATAATAACAAAAACATTAGAAATATAAACATAATTAATAATAATAATAACTAAGATAATATAATAATACTCACAAAAAAATTAGCAAAAATAATGTTATGAATTTAGAAAGAAAACAAAAAAAAAAAAAAAAAAACGAAATTTTGGACTTCCGCCCATTTTTTCCGGATCCTAGGGGGGAGATTCGCCTAAAAAATCCGGAAGATCTTTATGGGATCCGGAAATTCCAGGCGTATGTGGGGATCCGCTTAGAATTTCCGGATCCTTGGAGGATCTTCCGGATTTTTTAGGCGGATCTCCCCCCTGGGATCCAGAAAAAATGGGCGGAAGTCCAAAAAAAATAAATTAAAAACTACGACTTACAGATTCTTCCGACGACTGCTCCGGCGTATTAAAGTTGTCGTCGCTCATCGTGAATAGTGGGCCCCAACTACCACACTCGGGATTTTTTTAAAATTGGTCGGAATTACCGTACAATGGTGGTATCGGGTTTTTTGGTGGGTTGGGATTTTTTAAAGACAAGTGGGGGGTCGGGAATAATATTAAACTTTTTACTAGCTAAAGTGAGTCATGGTGGAGCCTTATATGGAATTAAAACAATCAAGGTCAAAATAGTCAATACACATAAAAATGGAAGCGTCATCCTGTAATTTGCGAACGACGAATAGCAGTTCAGCTAACGAAAAGACGGTCTCATACTGCATTTTCTGGTAAGGGGATGAATTATTTTTTTATTAAAGACAAATTTTTTATAATGGTGATTAAAGGGGACTATGATAAGAGTGAATAGATAAATTTCATGTATTACTCCGTTTTATATCATTTGTAACTTTGGAGGGCACACGAATATTTAGGCAAAATTTGTTTGTGAGTTTATAATAGAGAGAGAAAATTTTGTGTACATATATATATATATGAATTTAGGAGAAGAAAAATATGATTTTGTAGGTAATTGTTGAAATTGTCTAAATGAATAATTTATTAATATTCAATTTTATTATAATTTTTTATATAATGATATAATTGAAGCTATTGTTACTTTGCTAGTCAAAGTTTTACAATGAAATACATACCCCAGGTCCCATGATGAAAAATGTTGTACTCAACAAAATAAAAAATTACCTCTTATTTTTTATTGTCACTTAAGAATGCACCTTTTATGAATTGTAGAATATTAAATATTATTCTATTCAACTTATTGTGCCTAAAATTTTCTAGATTTTAATATTTGAATACATGCAGAATTATTTTTACAAATAAAATTAAAATGTTACTACAACGAAATTTATTTTAATTTTTTTGAGTTAAGAGTACAATTAGGTACTCAATTTTTCTAATTTTCACCTTTTAGGTACTCAATTTTTTTTCTTTTCTTTTGGGTACTCAAAGTGATTTTCAGGCGAACTAACTCACCACTAACTCATCACTAACCATACCTAATTAAAAAATTAATATTTTAAAAATAAAAATAAAAAATTCATAACTTTGACTCAGAAACTAGCCGTTATTACTATATTTAAAGGGGAATGAACTTGGGCAAAAAATGCCATGAAAACACCTGCAAAACACTAGCATCACTGTAGGGTAGATTCACCATGTTTTCTTAACCAATATTCATCCAAAACGATTTTCCCTGATTCAATTTCAATTAAAAAAAAAACAAAATCAGCAACACAGAAGTTGTAGCAGTATACCAACAACAAATATCATCAAAACAGGTTCATTCACCATGTCTATTTAGGCACAAATTCTTCAACAAGTTTTTCCCAGATTAAAAAAAAAATCAAAACAGTAGCTGCTGCTAGGTTCTTCCCCTGCTGCTGCTGCACAAGAAAAACACACACAACATCATCAATCACACATACACAATTTCACCAAAACCACCCCTGTTTTAGTGCGCAAAACAGATCAACAAATCAAAACTTAGAGCATAAATAATCAACATGCAATCAATATCCACCAACAACACAAGTTTAATACAACAACAAACAACACAGCAACAAATTTAACACGAAAAAACACAAGAAATTGACATTTTGATTTCAATTAAAAAAACCCAAAAAACGCAAAACCCTAAGTCGCAATTACCATCATCAATTGGGCAAAAAATTCAAAATTTATATCAAATTAACAACAAAAACCATGAGTAAGTAAGCATACCTCAAAAAAAAAAAAGGCGGCTTTCGCTGTCGTTTTCCCCATATTCGAATGTAGTTGCTCGTGTTCTTCGACTTATGCGCAGCGAATATTTTCAGAAATGGAAAGAATTAAGGGGCAAAAGGGGGAATAAAGAATAAGAAAGGGGAAAAAGAAAGGGTTGACCCGCACATTTTTTTAATCGGGTGGGGCCCACTTTCATTTAACCAAGGTATTGAATTCTTAGGCTGAATTATTTTTTTTTGCCGGAATTCTTAACTCAGTACCCAAAAGCAAAGCAAAAAAATTTTAGTACCTAAACGGTAAAAAAGTAGAATTGAGTACCTAAATTTGTGCTTAACTCAATTTTTTTGGTGCAAAAATTTATTTTAATTTTAAGTGAGTTTTTGACCTTTATTCCTTCTAACATAGCTTAATCCATCTAAATTTATATTATGAACATATATGAACTTACTTTTAAAAAAAAAAAAAAAACTATTTCCTCCGTTTCTTTAGTCACGTTTGCCAATGCACAAATTCAATCATTAATATCTTTAATTACCGATTAGCAAAAATTATATTATATTGATATTTTGAAAATATAATTTGTGACGAATCTAACAAGACCCACTTGACTATATTTTTCTTCATAGGTAAATCACAAAACATGGTCAACCAGAGATGTGTGAATAGTGCTAAAGTCAAAACGTGTCAACTAATAAAAACGGAGGTAGTGTTTATTTGAAAAAAGTAAAAATAAGTTGCATGAAATAATGAGGCCTTAGTTGTGATGAATGCACTGATTTTTCTTATGACATATTGACAAGCTTGTACATAAAGACTATGATACTTTTTTTTTTGTACCTAGTTTGTTACGCGTACAATTTAATTACAAGTAAATTTAACTATACAAGCTCTTGGGATTAGATCTCAACATACATAAATTCATTGTAATGTAAAGAACTAAAATAGCAAGAAAAAAAGAACTAGTTACATTATCTTATCCGAGCTCTCTAAACTCCAAACGCAATAGATGTCATGTATGGTACAAGAATGCAACTATATAGTCAGTTGTTCAAAGTGTATAACAACGTACACCTCAGTCGCCTTTACATTACAAATTTTTATATACACTCGGGTGTAGATGTTACTTATTGTATTTATCATTTGTCGTATAAATAATTTACAAGCTTTGCTTCGATTTCTTTGTTGTCAAATGAAGAGGGTGTACATATTGATACTCCTTCTGCAGATGGGGCAAGATTTGTTCAAGACAAGCCATTTATCTATGCAATGTTTATGAAACTGGTGATTACATTGCATCATGCATCGCACTTTCTTTCCAGCTTCCAAGTCCTGCTCAACCAATAAGTGTTTAGAAAGTGTGTAATGTTGTTGCTAATATATATATACATGCAACAATATATATCAAGTGAAAATTGCACGAAAAAAATAATAAAAGATACTTGTAACACTAGAGTTTACTCATAATTTTGAAAAAAAGTGAATAGTACATGAAAATGAATAAACTAATTTTACAAGTGGGGTTACTGGGTGTTCTCCGTTTTTGATGGCTTATGGGAGAAATTAATAAAACAATAAAGTGCAAGTGAGGTTAGTGGGAGAAATAAATATGAAGTTGATGTCACGTTAAATATATAGAAAATGTTGCAAATTAAAGTATTCAAAGTGAACGAATTAAACGAGGCAATCAATGTCGCAAGTATATTCAAAGGGTGGAAAAAAAATTACCTGTAGACATATGGGACATGAACCTTCCACATGTAAAATATCAACTAATTCTCTGGGTATGGTCTCACCCATTGTTGTCCTTTGTAATATTTCAACTATGTAACTAACGTTGTTGTCTTCCTCTAAAGTTTCACTAAAGCTTTTCTCAAGACGTTCCTTAAGAATTCCCATCTGACCACAACAAACATTCCAAGTTAAATATGGTGCAAAAACATAATAATGTCAAACCAAAAACTGTGACTGATTCATTTTTCTACTACACACAAAAATACAATATGTGATATGATATATACATATATATATATATATATATATATATAAGGTAAAAAAAGGTCTATTACCTCCATTTCAAACACTTTCGAACCATTTAAAAAGTTTGCCAATACATCTGCCTGTACAATTAAATCAAAACATGGATGGTCATGTTAGTTGAATATGACTATTATGCACTCGAATGTATCTATAAACCTGACTAATTGAATATACTAAAAAGACAAATAAGCGAGGAATGAAACAAATGAATTACCATGAGCGTAGTCATATCTTCCATTATTGTTTTCTTCATCGTAAGAACACACAAAGAAAGGATTGGAGTATTAGCAAAAGCTTCAACTATTCTCCAACTTTAAATAGAGCCCACCAAGAAAGGAGGCATTGATCCACGAGGCCACAAAAGCTAGCTAATATAACAGTATAGATGCATGGTCCCATAATTAATTAATAAGATATTTTACAAGAATTAGATATTTGATAACACATGGGAGTAATTAGAGATATTTTAGCAAGAATGGTGGTTTGACGAAAAAGACTTGACTTGAATGTTTATAAATTAGATTATGCAATTTGTAGTATTCTACGTGGTTAACCTTCTTTCTCACATACATAGGCCAGCAGACATCACCCACGGGTCACTGCCGATGAGTGTTAAGGGGCACGCAATTATGTCATTGAAAGGCCATGATTTTATTATTAATAACACTTTTGCTTGTTTGGCAATATATAGTTATAAAAGTCGATAATGACTATGAATTTATATATGTATTGATACCTAATGGTTAAGTATTGTTATTTCAAAATTTATCATACTTAATATCATAGATATAAAAGAAAAAATACAAGTTAATATTCTATATAAATAAAACTTGTTAATATCAAAGGTACTTTTGTAAATTTAGATACCACACCAAGGTAATTTTGTAAATTTAGCAACCGCACACCTTTTTTGTCCCCTCTATCCTCATCGAACAACCAGTAGCTAGCTAGTACCACTAGCCAGACCACCCCACGACCATTAGCTTCACTAGCAAACCACCGCACAGTCACTAGTACCACTAGCAGACCACCACATGACCATTAACACAACCATTCGATCGTTGCACCTCTACGAGCACCACAAGCACGAGTAAATCCCCTTCCCTAAGGGGTTAGTATATCGGCCTAATTTACATAATTTGCTACTAGTATATGCCATAGGGTGTCTTTTGTTTGGCCAACCGACCGATTTAGAGCTGCTAAGGTGGTCGATTTTGGGCATGGCCATAGGAGGGGAAGAGAGAGATGGAAATAGCGGCCATGGAAATGGAGGAGACAGAAGAAAATAATGTTCGGCCATGTGAGGGGAGTAGAGAGAAAATTTAGTGATATAAACATGTTTTTGTTAATAATATAGGATATTAACTGGGTTTTGCTCATAGTTAAAGTAGTAATGGATTCTTAAGTCTTAGAGATCTTTTTATAAATAAAATTATCTAATATATCTAAATAAAATAGTTTTTTTTTAGAGCATTCGGCGCGCTACATAAACAAAAGGTATTATTTTGACCAATTAAAATTAAATTTGTATTTTATTCTAGAATTAAAAATTCACTCATCACCTAAGCAAAAGTGACAAATGAAATTTATGAATTTAGCCACGTAGGTTAAAAAAAACAACGAATATTGATTTATTAAGATTGAAATTATTTAAAAACTGACTGTTTTGTTAAGAACTAAAAATCATCTTTAGATTTTTTTTTGAGAGAAAAAATCATCTTTAGATATTAAAATTAAAATTATTTTAAAAACTAAACATTATAAAGAAAATGATAATAAAAAAAAACTGTCGCATGGGTTTGACGTGTAATATATGGAAAAATATTATTTCAACAAATCATAAATTAGATTTATATTTTATATTAGAATTAAAAAATTTAGATTTGTACTTTATTTAAAATTAAAATATTTACTCACTGCCTAAGCAAAAGCTAGTGACGAATGAGATTTATGATTTTATCCACGTAGGTTAAAAAAACGAATAATAACTTTTTCAGATTAAATTATTTAAAAACTAAAAACTTATCTGTTTTTATTAAAAGAACTATATTGTATTAAAATTATTTCAAAAACTAAAAATTATGGGAAAATATAAGTTAATCTGCTAGATAAACGAATTTTTGTTAATCTGGTGGTATTTTTGTAAATATATTGAAAAAGCAGGGTCATTTAATCAGTACTTTTGGTGAGCTGTCCAATTACTATTTGCTTTTACTGTTTGGTGAGGAAATTACACATGTACCCCTCAACGTGTACATGAAAAGACACATATACCCCTCCATTGGTACTTGAACATACAATTATACCTCAGATAAACAAATTTTGTTTATCTGGGGAATTGACTGGGTATCCCTAAAAAAATTATGCAAAATGATAATAAAAAAAATCGTTCATCGCACAAGTTTGACATTCCACATAAGCAAAAATATTATTTTGACTAATGATAAATTAGATTTATATTTTACTAGTTTTGTGCCCGAGCAATGCCTAAATTGTTAAAAAAAATTTAAAATATTTTTTTTTTGCTTGAATGTCAAATACGGTGTTTTAAACCAATATTCTCTATTATTTTTTAAAATAATTAAATATATAACAAATGGAACTTATTTTAAGGAGCTTTTTAAAACGAATCTTATGATGGAAAAGTTGGAAATAGAACCGAGTTATAAGAAATTTATTAAAAATTATAATTAATTTTGTATATATGAAATATTAGAAGTATATCAATAATAAAACTCTACGCCATAATTTATCATAAGAAAATATATCTATAATTCGCTTACTTAGCCTCATATGTTTCTGTAGACACCTATTTGTGTCTCCCCAAAATCAAACCCAGTGATGAATACCTTTCACGTCGGTCCATAATCGAATAAAGTGAAAGTGTAAAAAGTCTAGTGTTGCGGTTAGTTTTAAATTCTCTTCTTTCTCTCTGTTTTCGAAAACCTATTTTATCAAAATAGTCAATCCAGTTTAGTTTGGTCCATAGCAAGGGTCCAATAATAGTGTATTTGGATTAGGCTTGAAAAGAGCTTTCCAACGATATATTATAAGCCCAATTCCGATGAGTAATGAGGAAGTTATGGCCAAATTACTAAACTGGGTCCGGTTTGATCTTTATATGCGGCCCAATGATCTAGAGGAGGGCCTATTATGATTTATCATTCCTAATGCAATTAGGATTGATTATAGTCTTCTAGAATCTTCTAGAAGGTTCTTTTGAATCCTAATGTGATTAGCATTGATAATTGAGTCTTAAGAGTTTTATTTAGAATAAAAGAAGTGTTTTAAAGGAAATTACAGTTTCACCCCTCGTACGCTTAAATTTTATTAAAATATGAAAACGCGTGGAAAAACTGACTGCAGCGCCGCACTACAGGCTGTCGCTCGACGACAAGCCCTGTCGTTTGGCGACAGGGGCATGTGTGGCGACAGCGTTGCGTTTTATTTTCGAAACTCTGATTCTTTTTTATCATATTCCGGCTGATTTTCGTTATAAATAGCTTCTTAAAACCTCCGTTTTTAATCATCAACTCTCATCAATCTAACCAACTCTCATCAAGAATTTCTTGATATGCTCCCTCCCTCTCTCTCTTATTCTAAACCACCCTTTTTTCAAACAAAATTCCGCATTCACAAGATCTAGACACACCTAGCCAAGTTCGAAGTTGTCTTTGCCCTAGACGTGAAAGGTTTGATATTTATGAGGATTTGGTCCTAAACCTTTCTTTCAATAAATTTAATTATTTGATTTTATATTTTCCTTGAAGTTACTAACGTGTGTATTTTGTTATTAGAAAGAGGTACGAGGTGTTTCGGGGTTTTCTGATGTCCTGCAGGAGAGTTACAATTCCGAGACTGGAACCGGACGCCTGTACCTGCAAAACAAACGGATGCTCCGGATGATTGGAGATCCGCCTCCGACGGTCAAGTTAGTACTTGATTAAGGACTAATTAATGAGGAAATAAAAGTGATTGGGTCTCTCTAGGTGAGAGTGTTTAATGTGCGTAATCTCCCTTAATGAGGATTAAGGGAGGTATTTATAACCTTGGGAAACGTGCCAATCCTAGGTTTAGGTTAACCTTGGGTTGATTGGGCTTCCCTTGGAAGTTGGGCCTAGGTGGCCGGTTTCTCCATTAGGCATGGAGGATGCCACGTGTCATGACATAATAGGTCCAAGGTGGACGAATAGGCGTGTGCCACGTGGCAAGCCCTGACAGTTCCAACTGGGGGACACTTGGTAGGACTTGATTGGCCCACGTGGCGCATTCCGATTGGTGGGAGCAAAGTCCCCTAATCATTTGCCCCTCACAGGTGGCACGTGACTGGTCACGTGTTACCTGTGACAGGTGTCGTACTGTAACAGGCGACGGCCTGCTACAGGTGTCACTCGGCGAAAGGCCGAGAGATTCTCCCACCCAAATTTTGAATTTTGGAAGTGACCCTTCGCCTTCTCACTTCGCCTATATAAGGGAGTGTTGACTTCAGTCATTTTCACACTTGAGAACTTTTTGAGAGAACATTCGGACCCCTGAACTTGCTCTGACATTTTGGACCCTTTCTGCCTACCACCTGCTCTGACAAGCCGACTGCACAGGATTTTCAGATTTCCATCAACATCACTCGTTCAGGTAACCGTCGGTTCTCTTACTCTTAATTTTCTCTTTATTTTATTCTTTTTTGAAATGGCACCACGGAAGCACACGACACGACCTAGGTTAGTGATCAGCCGGTCACCGGGGACGGCTGAATCTAGGACTAGGAGTGCCGCCTGCCCTTTTCCGGACCCATCTTTGCCCTTTATACAAAGTCCGACTGTCTTTGTGTCTATGCAGAACATGATGGCCAGAACAAAAAGAACTGCTAGGATTTCGAACTCAGACGGCTCCTCCCATAGGGTGCCGATTAGTGAAACATCTGACCAGGCGCCAGATGTGGAAGTGAACCAAAGCGGCTTGAAAGCCGACAGTTCTGAGGGAGGAGTCAAAGTGACCCCTTTCAATTTTACAGTTGACAAGTCTACATTCTCTCCTGCTCCTTTTAAAGGAGAGGAGGCGGGCCCCTCTGGGAGAGGGGAGGAGTCGTCCTCTTCGGACTCGTCAGAGGAAGAATCCGAATCTAGCTCTTCTGGTCATACTTCTCTGGACACAGTGGAGAAAAACAGTCGCCTACAAGAGGCGAGGCTTTCTCACGCAGTTCAGAAGGGGGACAATTGGGCGGAACCATCCGCCTCTTACCGAGAGCAAAATACCCCCTACTACTGCACTGTCCCACGGGGCCGGATCACGGCCATGCAAGAGAAAGTGGGGAGCTTTATTGCGAACCACACAATGGGCCCCGGCTTTT